AAAGTTATTACTGATCCAAACTACCGACAGAAAGCATTGTCAAAAGCTCAGTGATAAGCCGCATTTTTTTGCTTCGCGAAACAGATGCTAATGATTTTGATAAAGCTGCTGGGCTTTTAAACAGTTGCATTGATGCTCTGAGTCTTACAAAATGATTGAAAATCGCAGATGTACGTCATAGAAGCTTTTTGAAATCAATAGTCCGAGAAAACGACTGAAGGAGTAAGGCGGTAGCTCAGACACTCTTTCGAGGTCTTTATCATAAGTAGTAAGTAGGTGAACCTGCAATTCGCTATTGGGCTCAACATCATACGCTCATTTTTTAATTTTGTTCACTTAATTCACTTATCGAAGTGTTTATACTTACCAATCGGAAATTTTTGGTCTAAGATCTTGTCTGCCTTTTAGGTATCCCCCCTGTTAGTCATGGCTTCTGTTGCCTTCGTTTGCACTATCAGTACATTGTGTGGTGATATCCAGTTTTTGAATATTCTTTAACCTGATTTCAACTCGGTATTTGTTCAACTTACAATTTTATAGACAGCTTTGCTCAAACCTGCAGATTCCTTGTCAAAAGTTTGTTTTTGAGACGATCAAGAGCGTTTGCGAGCTCTTTTTTTTCTTTTTACTTCTGCTCGTTTGTGAGTAAGGTCGACTTCTAAAGCGTTTAGCATGGTTTGGAGCAGCTTTGTTTGATAGAAGTTTAGATTATCGAAGCCAAAAGTCAATATTGATCGCCGTAAGAATTGGGCGTTTCTCCCAAGGCGTAAGGTTTATTTAGCATGAATTTGAGTTATGAAAAGCAATTTTGAAGCCGTCATACTTCGGCTTTTGCTCTTAATGTATCTGAATATTTGTCTGCGATGCAAACCACTCCGTACAACCTTATGTGTTAATCTATCCCCTTTTGAAGCATTCGTAATGTTGATGCAGTAGATCATCCATCATACCAGTATGTAGGTTAGACACAAACACTTCATTGATGCAGTTACGTAATATCTCAAACTACGATCGTGATCCCATCCCCCAGGACGCGTCGCTTTTCGTAAAAGTCTGACTAAAGGTTTGAGGAAGGATTTTTGTTCGTATTGAAATGCCATGATTTATCACCTGTGTGAATTTACTTATACATTCATATTAAGTCTTAGAACCTCATTGTTTCTGGCTTAGTCCACACAACTTTTAGCTTGCTCCCGTCACGCACGCCCATATAGCTTAAATAATAATTTCTAGATATTCTAGAAAGAGCACATACACTTCAATCTATTTGTCCACAGTTTTTGTATGCTTGCATATGTATTCTGTCAGCAAGGTCATACTCTTTAATCAGAATAATTTTGAATCAATCAAGGCCATATTTTTAAGCGAAAGAATAGAGAGTTATTCGGAAGACTCTCTACTGATCCATCTATTGTAGTCGTTCTTATGACGTTGCCACCGGATTTTTGCTTACGCCCCGTGAAATCAACGTACTGGATATCGCTCTGACAATTTTGTAAGCTCTGCCAATCCTAGCACTATGTTCTTGAAATCAAAGTATTAAATTTGAAATGCTTTCTCCAGTGCTTAAACTTCACGTCGGATGGGACCCATCTACTAGTACTAGTACAATTCGCTTGTCGTCCCCCATAACTCAAAGACGTCTTAGTTGGACTGTAAGTTATGATTGACTCCATCCTCTTACTTTATCTAGATACTTTGTTGGTACTTTGTAGAGTGATACGACCACGAACAACACTTTAAAAACCATCTAAGTTGAGTATATTAATGTTCCGACCACCTCCTTGCTGCAAATCCTTGGCACTAACCCTGACCTTGTGAGATTCATCTGGTAGATAGCAGATATAT